GACACGCGACCTGACCCCGTATGTTCGCATCAATTTCTGATGTGGAGTGGTGCAGTTGTCAACCATATGCGACTATAATCAGCTGTTCTAAACTTCCTCATTGGAAGTCACGAAAAAGCGGCTCTGAAGAAGGCGATACTGCCGAAACGTCAGCTAGTGTTGTATTGTATTGTGTTTTTCTATGGAAGTAAATGTATGCTGTATAACAACCTCGCGATTGCTGAATAAGAAAACGACGCATTCATATTCTTGTGCCGAGGTTAATAGAAAGTCGATCCTGGGAAATGTTATTTTGAGTTTCAATATATTAAAATTTCATGTTCTAAAGGTTTTAAAACGAAACTAATTTTTTAACATTTCTAACGCCAGCCGGTAGCTACGAGTTCGTGCGATACATTGGTGGATACGCCTTATTATGATGGACGGAACCCCTCTTGCTCAACAGCATTGGTGTCGAAATGCAAACCTGAACAAAAGAGCAAAATGAAAGTGATTTTTGAGGTCTAAGAACTCGACTTTTAATGACGAATCAGCGAGAGCTTGTAGGTAAAAACGATTGATTTCATTGTCTTATCTTTTATTTGGTACTTAATCTTTTTTCATGGCAGGGTAGGTGACATGAGGTACAACCAGAAGGATGGTGAGACATAAGCAAAATTTTAGATTATAAAGGCAAGACATGTTTGTTTAAAGTTGAAAAAGCGGTATTAATTTTGGCTGCTTGTGGCCCATATGTGAGCTGTGCAGTGAATTAGGTCTTAATCGTTAGGATGTTTGACAAAATCCTCCCGTGTACGAACGTTTTTAAAATCTGTGTTAATTCTTTTTTTCCTACATTTGGTTTTCGTTGGGCGACTAAATTTGCTTTAAAAAAATGAAGAACAAAGCCAGATTTTTCCCGAAAACGAGCCTTGCCTCTCAGGATCCTCGGTTGGGGAGCACAGCGTTGCTGTTGTGGCGTCGAATAACAATGAGCTACTATGCAGTTCGATCAAGAGTTTGTCAAAAAAGCCAGAAGGCGCTTCCTTTCGTTACAAATATTTTTGTTGGCTTAGTTTTGTCTTAATTGTTTTTTCCTATTAATCGATTTGCAAGGCGGTGTTTTTTATTGGTTTTTAATTATTCCGATAATATCACATATTGTGTAATTCCTAGCAGTATTAATTGAATAGAGAATGTCTTCGATCCTGAGCCTAGTGCTTTATGAATACGGACCATTCAGAGAAGATCTAAAAGAGAGCAGAAGCATGGTTGGTTCAATACGGGATTAACGCAGCTACAATGTGTAGATTTTGCACAGCATCTCTAATCACTGCCTACGTACCTACATAATATACCTTCACTGTATATGAGTATATATTGGAACATATTTCTAAATAAGGGCGTGTGTGGCGCAGTGGTTGGAGGCGTCCTGCAACGCACGTATGGGATCGATCCCCGCGTCCATGACCCACCAAGCCTTCCATCCTTCCGGTGTCGGCAAATTGGCACCAAACTTGTCTGGGAGGATAGCAGCATTGGCTCGATATATCGCTAGGCCACTGCGAGTTATTGTAAGAGCCATATTTACACTCAGTCACCTCCAAACGATGCTTGGTAATATCGAATGCACGGCGTATCCCTAGAGGTTGATCAATGCCGAGCGCTTTATCCTTTATTTTTTATATTTTTAAGTGAGAAAGGTACTATTCACTTCTGAGACCGATTTTTGAAAGATTTTCATGAAAAGGACTATTTTAAAGACTTCATATTAGTAAATGGTGGGAATGTTAAATGGGGTTTAATGTATAGTAACATGAATGAATCCCAATTAGGTGTTCGTTTCTTGATGAATTCGTGCTAATGCTTTGAGGATTCCGCAGAGATTTATGCCGCTGCATAAGATATTCTTAAATAGTAGAAAATGTTTTGAAATAAAGGAAAACCTCAAAGAGCGGTTCAATTTCTTTGTTTAGGCTTGGGAGCTAAACGCCTAATTCGAGTGCCCTGTGGTAAAACCGCCTACTGTACGGACACCGATGCACAAAGGTTGGAATAAGTTTGATCTTTCGCACAGAAAAAAGAAACAATGCTCAACTTTAGGCAGAAATATAAACGCGAACATCCTTGGCATTTATTTATTACCCTGGTTCAGGCTTTGGCTTTGGATTGAGCCTCGGCTTAAGCCTAAGTTTATGATTAGGGAGAGGATAAAGACTCTGCCTCTATAATTCGAGTTGATATAAACAGTGATTGCCGTGGACGAGACAAAACGCTTTTGCTTGGGTAAACATTTAGGCTCATTCTTAAGGTTAATCATAGTTTGAAGAAAAGTCAACTAGCGCTTTTTATGCATTAATATATTACCTGGACTGTATTTTGTCGGTTAGGAAACGCCCTGGAGCCTCAAGACAGCCGCATTACTTTGCTCGTAGCACTCCCTCTTAATTGGATTTCCGGGAAGATATTCTTCATAGTTAACCTGGGTGACACTGTTGAGCAGACAAAGTTCTGCCACCCCTTTGTATTTCGGAACTTGACACCCTGAGGCCCGTCTACCACGTTGAAGCAATAAACTTTTGAGCGGAAATTTCTATTAAGCATTATCGTCAATGCTATAAATTACTAGAAAAGTTTGTTTGGCTCATTACAGTATTGTTATTCCGTTCACTGTGTTCGGTGGCGCAGCGGCAGGTCGTTTGATTCTGGTGGACATCGTTAGACGTGAAGATCTCATCGGAATACTCTCACCGAATGACGTAGTGCTAAAGATTGAAGACATGTGAGTTATTTTTATATTAATCTGACATTTCACCCTTTTCCACTGCTTTTTTTCCAATGCTTTGTCGATTTATAAGCATCATTTTGAGCTTCCGTTTAGCACTCACAAGGTTCATCCCCACCTCAAACCAACCATGCTTCCCATCACTTCAATGTTGAGAAATTGAAACCGAACTTGTGTGGGACGTTCTCTCCGTTTCTAAAGAGCCAAAAATGTTCTTGAAGGACTTAACGACGTTCATTAAGAAAAGCCGTAATCCTTATGCATCAACCGAGCCTACACGTCCGCCCGAAGTCTTCCATGGATGATGAATGTGTGGGAGCAAAGCGAGTGAAATTAGTACTACGATGCACACTTTGTATGATCTCGCATCATGTGGGAAATGTCATACAATTCCCACGACCGACTTTTCATTAACCTCGGCATTGATCAAGTAGTTCCTCATATTCTTGTTGTGCAAACGCGAAGTGTTATTTTATCCTTTATTTACGCACAAGCCGACGTTTCGGCGAATTCCACCTTCCTCAGAGCCTGGAAAGGTCAAGTTGACAGCAATCTACTCGGCCAAACAGATTAAACGCTAAACCAAGATTTCAATTACATTGAGCACAGAATGGCTTCATCGCATACTCACCACCTTCTATGAGTCTTTCAATGAAGATGTCACGCGGAGACCAACCGCTCAAAATTCACATGGAAGCGTAATGTGCCCATTCCATCAGAATAACAGGCTTATGTAGTGCCCGATATCACTCTTGATAATGAGACATTGCTCCCTGCGGTTCATTTTCGGGTTCCTGAAAATAATCCAGAATGCCTCAAAAATTTTGCGCGCTCGTGTTTTCGACTCCTGTGCGAGGATCCTCACTTCTACTTCAAAATCTTCCCCGTTATGTTCCTGTGTCCTACGCGGGCCCAGTGGGGTACATGGTCTGACTTTAAGTCTACCGACTAGGTATTCTTTTGTAGGACGCAGAGCGGTGTACCCTTTTCGCCAATGTATTCGTCTCCGCACGTTCAACAGGCAGGAGATCAAATAAACTATACGCGAACCCATGCAATCTACCGTTAGGGCAAATTATGTAATTTTGCGATGCACATAGATGGTCATATAGGCGGTTACGAACTAGCTGGCGCCTAAGACTACTCGGTGGCATTTCAACTGCGTTTACCGAATTCTCTAGACCGGCCCTTCTTAAGCACCGTTTTATAGCTGCATTTAGTTCGCTTGAGATGAAGGGCAGGATAAGCGGGACCTTACTATCGCTAGAGTTATCGTTTGAGGGCTTGGTCTTCCTCTACACATGTCCCAAGGAGCTACAGTTTCGTAGCCATTGGAAATGGCTATTTCCCGCGCCAGGTTCCGGGATTCTTCCTTCTGCTGTCTTCCTGTACACACGCTGGTGACTGCCCGGAACTCGTTTCTCGCAAACTCTCTTTTTTGTGCGTGAAAGATGAGAGGAGAGGTAATGAACCAAGATGTTTTTACTACTTGGCTTTCGGTACCACTTCATAGTGCAGCCGTTTACTGACAGGTTAATTTGGACGTTCAGGAATGGAAGCCTGTTTTCTTTCAGTTTCTCTCGAGTAAACTTGATATATCCTAACTGTTTATTCAACAACTTGAAATATTTCTCCATTTCCTCTTGTGTTGAGCAAAGGACAAAACAGTCATCTATATATCTACAGTAGAGTAATGGCACGAGATCAATCACCGGTGCTTCCACCTTAGACATAAAGGCAATGGCAAGACTTGGCGCCAGTCGCTGTCCCATTGCCCTCAATCTTATTTGGGCGTAGCACTTTCCGTAGTACTTTCCAACATGCCCGTCTTGTAATTGCGTATAAAAACTTATTAGTTACTATCTAGCGATGATATTGCGTCTACCGATCTATCATTGTTTAAGGTTAGACCTATCATTAGCGGTGTAGACTGGCCAACGGATAGGATAACGTGGTTTTTAGCACTAATGTTTACCTAGTTGTTGAAATACATTCCAGCCCACCTTATGAATACCCAGATGTTTCTGGATCGCCTGCGTACTGCGTAGCCCAGCAGCGCGTGCGTGATGGTGTCCTTCTATGTTACCGCTCTTTATACAAATGTGTCGAATGACTCCGCAATGCAAGCCATATTCAAACTCCTTATACAACACGAAGGAGAAATAAACATGTATCGCTTCAAGATAGAGCAGTTTATGGCACTCTTAAAAGAATGCTTGAGCTGCTCAATCTTCAGATGGTTCGAAAAGTACTACACCCAAATAAGAGAGTTGCAATGGGACAGCGACTGGCACCAAATTTTGCCATTGCGTTTATGTCTAAAGTCGAAGCACCAGTAACCGATCTCGGGCCGTTACTCTACTGTAGATATATAGATGACCGTTTTGTCCTTTGCTCAACACAAGAGGAAATGGAGAAATATGGAGACAGAGGAAATGGAGACATGTGTAGAGGAAAGGCCAAGCCCTCAGACGATGACTCTAGCGATAATAACGTCCCGTTTATCCTCTCCTTCATCTCAAGCGAACTAAGTGCAGCTATAAAACGGTGCTTAAACCAAGCTTCTCATCTCTCCAGGGTGGATAAATTGGTACCGCACTTGTCGTGGAAAAAAAATCACTGTATGAAATCCAGTTGGGAATGCTTCAGCCCGGCTTTCTCAGGACTACAGGGAGAATTGTTCGACCAGCATTCTTTGATATTCAAGATCCTCAAGCAGCAACAGAAGCGACATGTAAAAAGTTGGAAGATCTTCATAGGCAATATATGCGAGAGAACGAATTGAATGTGAGAAATGCTGAGATCCGAACTGTAGACGTGAAAACGGATCATAGAAAACAAAAAAATTGTCGAATCCATGGATATGGGTGATGCCTCGAACAGTAGACCCCTTAGTGGTATGGTACTGTTTCAGCTAAATCTCTTTCGAAATTCTTGTTCATAGATTTTTTCATGATATCCTCCTGTTTAGTAAGTTATTTAGTTGAGATATTTACAAATAAATTACCTACCATTTCTGAACAAAAGCGAAACATTGTAAAATTCCGTTTGTTCGAATTTCAGTGAAGTTAGCGGAATGCTAAGATCTGAAGTGACCCGACTAATGGACAGGTTGTATAACGAAAATGACCAACTTGCCGTCGAAATTGTACCTGCAGGTACCTTTTTCCTTCTGGAGAGGACATCCATCTTTTTTGAAGTGCTTTTTAATAAGCTTTCCTTCCCACATTGTTATCGGCATAGACATGCCTTATATAATTGATTTTAGAGTGCAGACGTTTCAGGTGCGATTACGGACGATATTTGTGAGATTTTGAGCGACAAAAAGTGGGCTGAACTTCAAACCGTTATTCGGGACAATTTGTACAGTAAGACAGTGCCATGTTAGTTGATCGTACCGATTTTTTTCACGTCAATCGTTTTGTCTTTAATTAAGAATTTTGAAAAAACATGAACGAGAACATAATATTTGCATAATTTTAAAACAAAGAACAAGTATATCGGAAATATTATCGCAGACGAGTAGGAGTGATCATAGGAGAAATGAGTAAAACTCGTCCGCGGTCGATTTTGTCGCGGCGAACTCGAGCGTGATTCAGTTGTCAATATAATTAAGCATTGGTAAATAGAAACCTGAGAAGATTGGTCTTACTGGCTACAATAAAAAAGCACGTACTCGGAGAACCCGCTACACGTAATTGGTAGAGGTACACTGTTATATGAGAATCATGTAGGAACACAACTGGAATCGCGAACCCAGGTGAACATGTTAGTACTAGTTTTCCAGGATTTTGGCTTGAGTGTGTTGTCTAGAAAATAGCAGTGCCGTGAAGTTAGTCGCATTCTCTCTTCATCTTTAAATTCACGCATAATGATTGAGTGGTTCAAATTTATTTCTCCTTACCTTCTTTTTCTTCGCAAAATTCTCTTAAGAACGAACTACCTACGAGGGAACATAAGAAAGGCTTTATCCGCTCTAAATCATATTTGGCCAGTGTATTCAACATATCGTTTAGAGGGCTCACTAGAGCTCGACGATAATGTTTGTTCTGCTTGAGCGCAATTTTTAGTCAGCTGTTTGGCGGTTGACGCCCTTGTCAATTCATGGCGCTCGAGAAGATGAGCCGATTATCAGCCAGGCAAAAAAGTGTCGCTTACTAAACACCTGATTCTCGACTACCTCCTTAGTTTACGGCCTCATTTGTTGACGAGTCTCATACAAAGCTCAGATCGTCATTTAAAAGCTGTGTTTTGCCTCCACGTTAAAGTTATGGGCTCAATTTTAGCCTATCATTGAATAAGAGCTTTAGTGAACAGCAACTTCTCGAGAAAGTTCGAATAGAGGTGAATTTTTTAAATTTGAAAGGAGAGATATATAATAGATATCATTGTGCTTTGAAATTTTTTTATGATGGGGTTGTTCAAGGGGCGCGTGTAGCACAGTGGTCAGAGGCGCCATACAACACATGATCGATCGTGCGCTCAGGCACACCAAGCCCTCCATCCCTCCAGTGTCGGTAAATTGAAACTTAAGAAATGAATATAATGAAAATGGCAAAACTGAAAAATACACTTATTAAGACTGCTCTTACATTTTGTAGCGCATTTCTACCTATGGGAATTTCAGACCGTGTCTTAACAATTAAAACTCATTTTGAACTCAGTTTTTTGTTTGATTTAAAAATTTAGAAACCCTCGAAAGTTTCAAAAAAAGTGCAAAAGGAAAAATTTTTTTCATGCACCAGCACGTTGATTAGTGTCAAGTTTTTTTCATTAAAAGAAGACAAAATTTTGGTGTTTACTAGGAATTTTGCGGAGACTTGAAAAGGAAAAGCCGATCGGCAGAGCTGTGAGTTTAACCTCCGTTTTCAAATAATGGCATTTTTCTGCTTGGGTTCGGCCCCCTGGTGAGGGTGGTGGTGGTGTTGGAAAGAAAGAGCGCCATGGGATCATCGGATGGCGATTAGCGGCGCCAGTTCACCTCATCATACATTTGTGGGAACCCTGTAGATATTCCAGTTTTTCCTTGCATAATAATTTTAATGTATTCACCTAGTCCTACTCTTTTCCTATCTATCTCCCAATTTATTCTAAAGCGATTTTGGTCTTAGCTGTTTAGCTGAATTGAAAAGAGTCACTAGTTCTTTATTTCTCTAGTGTCGATTTTCACACTCCAACTATTCTATTTTGGGCTACCGAAATAAATAAAAAAAGGTGAAAAGCAGACCTGGGAGAAAAAATTATTTCGTTAATAGATGCGTAAAAGAGCATTTTTAATGGTGTATAGCGACTCAGATGGATCAGTATGGATGACTCAATGCTTCCCAGTCTGACCTAGTTGTGTGTTGCTCATGGATCGCTCAAAAATTCTCGAATATTTGACAAATTACATTATTCAGGAAAGGGTAACCTGAAAAAATTGCAGTTCCTTAAGGTGGGAGAGAGAAAAAAGTGGTGGAAGCCTTTTCATAAGATCCCAATGTGTTCACTTTCATCCTTACGTTTAATTAAGAATTAAAAATGCTTGAAATCGACGAATTTCGTCAATTTTAAGAAAAAGTTTTATGGGGAAAAGGGTGATTGCTGATGGCAAAAGATCGATAGAACTAGCTGAGAGACAGACGAAACGAAGGACCAGCATGGTGTGGTGGTGAACGCGCTACTCCCCGGAAAGAACAATAGCGCGTTCGTTCCCCACCGCACATACCTGCGGTCCGGTGTTTTGCAAATATCTCAGCATCAAGATTTCGAGTTTTGATGGCCACCTGTCGGTAACGTTACATCGTATCAGTAATCAAAATATAAGACTTAGAACTCCGTTTGTATCTCATTAGGAACCAACATTCTTCGGTAATCCACTTGGGCTTGGTGCTAGGATGGCTTACCTTAACTGGTTGTGCGGGCCTCTGCGTAAGTTGTACCCCGATTATTTGCTGGTTTATCCATTATAGTTCTCTAGAGTCCTGAGATCAGCCTAGCCGATACCTTTCTTAGGTCGTAATTACCCCAGACAGTCGCCGCCCTTGTGAATCGAAGGGTTGCCACCGTGTTTGATACCAAGACGCGGTGGTGACTCCTGGTATTGGTTTACTCTTAGCTGGTATTCCTAATGGAAACGCCGGACTCCTCAGCTTGTGAGGCCGTACTATAGGGGTGAATCCCTGCTGTACATCGAAGGCTGGCACCAAGGAGACCTTCCAACCATGATGAGGCGGTAAACCGTTAGAAGGCAGGAATCCACTAGACGTGTCAAGTTCTATGCTTAAAGATAGAAAGATAGCTAAAATGGTCCACGGAAGGGATTGCTTAATACTTCTCATCGATTATGCTAAAAGGCTGCCGTCTCCGATTACAAGAAAATCAGTACAACACTTATTTGTGAAGAGCATCGCATGATTCAAAAAGGCAGACGGCAAGTTCTACAGAAAAACCTAAGAACATTTTAGGGAAGCTGCAAGATACTTTAGTGTAGCTAGCAAGGATTACAGACCATGAACTAAATGAAAAAATGCTAGGATCAACAACATCTAAAGTGGATCATACAAATAAAGTAAAAAAAAAGTAGCTGCAATTACCCACTGTCTGGTACCACGCGCCAAATGCAAATGCCCCTAAGCCTAAAATTTATGATTTGGGAATTTCTGAACTACTTTGTCCATAGAATCGAAGAGTGAGATAATTGTACAACAACGATACATCCAGGCCACACTTATCCGAAAACATTAAGTTGTTTTCTGAGTTTGTTTTGAGATGTAATAGTCGCGCTCCTAGGACTAATTTGCTGTTATCATACGACGTTGATCATCATGTTTTTTTTTTTGTTCTGGATGAGACGATACTAAGGTGGTAAAACAACCTTTATTTCACGTTGGGTGATATCACGACTGATCCCGCCTCTGTCAGCATTATACCACTCATCCTATTAATCAATGTACCATTCAGCTTTCAAGGTCATTTAGCTTGCAGGCGGAATTAAATATCTTGAGAGATGTTTAGCCTTCATACAAGAGTCAATGCCCTGCAAAATAGTTAACTATGCGTTGATTTTGATAAAAAACACAACTGACATTCTTTTCTTATGATAAGCACTTAGCCGTCAATCATTACAGGAAGTCCTTAGATTACGTAATTTCACCATTCTGTAGCAGAATAACTGTCAGTTAAAATATTGTGAATTTATCTGGAAAGTACACAATTGCAGTTTTTACAAAATTTTTGTTTTATTGTGTGCTCTCCAGGCTATGGCTTATTTCTTCCATTTTTTTTTCTAGTTGTAGCTTATTTGCAGTTAGTGGTGTCAGTTCCTAACAGCTTTCACTAGCACTGATCCAAGATCTAATTACGGTTGCACCTAGTTAATGATTGCTACGAACCTGCATAACTTCTCCGTGGATGATACCCTTCACGGCGTTTACACCCTCTTGGAAACCAACTACTGGAAACTAGTTTGGGGAATGTGGTGGCGCAGTAATTAGTGATGACACCGATCAGGAAGTACACCTCTCCAACGCTCTCTCACCCCATATCCCTGGGAACCTCTTAGTCTGCGTATCTCCAATTTTTCAAGAAGAATCGATTCGACCAGCATTCGACGAAATTCATAAAATCTTTGAGCAAGAGCCGAAACAATACGTGAAGCGTTCGGGAACCTTTATGGACAATGAGTGCAAGGAAAAAGAATCGAATGCAAGAAGTGCTGGGATCTACGTTGTAAATGTGATAACGGGTCATGTGAAATACGAATGTAAAATGTCGTCTACTTCTTCAGTGGTGTAATCTATGCACTAGCCTTTTCTCCAGTTCCCTCTTCAATGACTCATTAACACAGGATATTTATCATACACCCCGGCATCCGGACCCAACTTAGGTATGATTCCAACCACTTCGAAGGATAAAGTTTAATTATTTGCTTATGACTGACGTATTGAGTCAGTATAACGATGTACAGAAAAGACTAGAGTAGGAAAAGGTTCAGTGCAAAGAATTTGGTCCGTAGAGTTTGGTATTACTGAAAGCTGAAATATTATGAGTCGTTGATGTTATAGTAAGCTAAATATTTACCTAAAGATTTTAGCACGAGTCATTCAGCTATACAAACTAAGTCGCATCTGAGAGATTTAAATTAAGGGTTCCCTCAAGACCGAATTCCATGATAGTATCCAAATTACACAGCCACGAAAACGAACCCCCTTCAGCACAAAGTTGAAGACCTGGACTAGGAAGTATTCGATGGACGATTCTCTTTTCTAAGGTTTCCCATATTCGTAATTTAGGGAATACCCTTCACATGTGTCTTTTTCCCTAATCTCGCCTCTTTTTCTTTGTATTTCCAACTTTTTAGTGGTTTACCAGCTCGTAGTAGAGTGGAGCTGTTCCTGCTTGTCGAAC